TAAGTCTAAGGGTTTCACTTAGACTTTTTAAGATGACTGGTGATCCCCTTTGCCCATTTAAATAAGATTCTTAAGTCATTTATAATTTATTTATGTTATTAACAAGAAGTGGATGATTAAATGAATAGACTGTACATTGGCTTATGCAAGATGATATAAAAAGATATATTTGTATTATAAAAAGTTAAAATCATCCTTAGTTAATAAAATTATTACTTTTAGTTCTCCTAATAACATAATATTAATAACAAACTTTTCTTGTGTAACTTTTTCCAGTTTAGAAGAGTCATGTAAAACACACATTATTTTCAAAACTAAAACAAATGGCATTAATTAATGGACTCTATCATCATGTATTAAAACAAGAGCTATGGCATGTAAAGAGGTTTGCTATTATGAAGATTATTAATACTACTAATACAAAACTGAGTTCTCATCAAATCAAGAGGCATTTTAATGACAAAAGTCATTTAGCTTTGCCAATACTGATGCTGTACACTAAGGATCCATGCCCTTTATGTGATGAAGCTTTGGAACATTTGGGACCCTTACTAAACCAGGTAATAAAACAAAGATCTTTTTTATATCTGGACTTAATAACTGGATAATTATAGTATAGACAAATTTATAGCATAATCTAGAGCAGTGTTTCCCAAGTGGTGATACATGTATGGGCACTGGTCAGCAAGCCTTACATTGTTGGTTTAGTTTTTCACAACAGGAGACAAGAAACTAGATAAAAGTTAAATACCTAAAACAAAAAAAACATATAATTGCAAGCATTTTATTAAATGGTAGTAATTAAATAGTCTTCTCACATTAGCTGATCACTGAATAAAAATACCTGATACTTATAATACATTTAGGGTGAAATAAAAAAAGTATGATTATTAAATCTAGTACCAATCCATGTTGGGGGGGGGATTGGAATGGAAATTATCCACCATTACGCCAAACTTTAAGGTTTAGGAAACACTGGTCTAGAGTTGAATGATTAATTGCTAACACAGTATATCGGTAAGATATTTGGAACTTACAAGTGAAATAAACATTATATGCAATCAAATTACTATATATTTTTTCAAATAATATATAATATAATAATGCTCATAAAGTAAATGAAATATTTGTTGAAATTTATTTAGTGAGTAGAAAAAAAATAGGGTTTCACACCTAACTTTTATGTTCATTTTTCGGAACTTAAATATCTCAATTACTTAAATTACTACACACACATTAAAGTTAAAGATCTGTCATTCTACGAATTTCCTAATTACCAGTATTATAACTTTAAAAAATAATTTATAAGCTAGAACTATCCAACATATTCTGATGAGGGTCTGGGATTACTCTTGTATGACCCCAGCTAGTACATTGGCTACCGGCTCCATCTGCTGAGCCCCACAAAATTTTCCCCACCGAGGGCTCTCCAACCCCCCCCCCCCTGGCTTCTCCTATAACATCTAGTGAGGGACATTTGGTCAACAGGTTCGCTAGTGTTTCCAGGACCAGGCTGCAAAGCCGGCAGGTAGGGTCCCTGTTTTAATTTAGCCTCCAGAAGTATGTGCCAATGGGACTACGGCCTAACCCCCACCATGGGTCTTATCTGGTAGGAGTGGGCAATTTGAAAAGACGCCTCTAGCGGTCGTGGTGTCTGCCCGTTGCCTGTACCATTTCATCCTGAAATGGTCTGCCAGCCAGTTAAAAATAAGAGGCTGGGCAGCCCCGGTTTTTGCCAGGGTGTCCTCTTTCTCATTGCCAATGACATTGACATGCCCTGTGATCCATTGCAATGTCACCTTTCCTCCTAGGTCACTGATCTTGAACACATCATCTATGACGGCGTAAAATAGGTACCTGATCTCTTTTCCAAGATCTTGAGGGCAGATCTTGAGTCCAAGTAAACGATTACATCAAGTCTCCCAAGTCTACTTTCTTTTAGTGTGTGATACAGTCTCCAGGGCCCTGTGAATAGCCTCAAGCCCCACATCAAAGTTTAATGCTGCAGTCCCACAGGGCTCTGAGAGCTCCTGATTCGGTGGTCCCCCTGCTCAGTACAGTATGAGTGCACCGTACCCAGCAGTTCTTTCTCTGAGATTGGCAGAGCCATCCACGAACACTTTCACAGGTGTCTTTGAACAATAGCCATGGTCTCAAGGCAGCTGCTTTCTGGACATTGTACAAATGTATTGAGGGATGTGAGGGCTCCGCATATGGCGAATTGGCTGGGATCAGGGTCAGACGTTCTCTATTGCGAGGTAGGTTGACTGTCCTCTCAAACTCCACTACTTGATGCATAATGTGGATCGTTTTATTAGCCTACCCGCTACCCAGTTGTTTTGCATCTGGAACAACGGTTCCTTCTTGTTCTGCCATTGTACCGCTCTACGGTACTTAAAATTACTTTTTCCCTCCTTATATCTAGCGGCTCTACATTGGCCAAGACTTCTAAAGCAGCTGTGGGTGTGGTTCTGAATGCAAGAGAGATGAATCGCAAAGCCTTATTCTGGATTTGGCCCAACTTTTCCAATGTGGTCTTGCTTGCTGTAATCCATCACCAACCTTACACTGCCTAGAAATAGAGCTCTAAGCATACTTGCTCCCACTCCCCAACTTGTGCAAGCCAATTTTTTCATCTGATAAGTTTGAAGCAATATAATCTAAGCCATTTCAGTTTATGAGGATTTATGCACCCTATTATCCAAACACGTAGATTATGAAAGAAATGATTTATCAAGTACAGTTACCATACTTACACTGTAAGTTTGGTGAGATTTTCAACTAGTACTAGTACTTATGACACTTTTCTAAAATTTGGCTACCGGTACATTTTTACATATTATGGTAATCAGAATGAAGAGACTAATCAAGAAAGCTGGGAACATAACACAAACTAAACATTGTTCATGTGAAGAACTATTTGAAGAAAGATGTTATTTGTTCCCAAATATGTATGAATTTACCAGACGTCTCAAATCTAAATGAGAACTAATAAGTCCCTGATATGAACCAGGGAGTTCACTGAATGAATGGCTGTTTTTTTCACTAGTGAAATAATTTAATGTAAATTTCTTGTGTTCAAATTGTTTTACTTTTACTTGGAAAATGTGGACTTTATTAAAACATCTATGAATTTTATGTGCTGAAAATGTATATGTACAATGCAATAAAAAAAAATTCCATTTGTTTGGATCAATTAAAGAATCTATCTTAAAAACATAAAATTAACATATTGATTGAAATTGAATTATTTTTTTAGGTGACCCTGCAAAAGGTTGACATCACAGCACCAGGAAATGAAGATCTTTGGAAAGCATATCGATTTGACATTCCAGTTTTTCATCTAAATGGAAAATTTATTATGAAGCACAAAGCTGATTTATCTGCTTTCAAGACAGCTTTAAAAGAGTACTATAGTCCAAAGAATTAAGTTTTTAATACTTACTTTTATATAAAGAAAGATTTGTTTATGGTGTCTTATTTACAAATTAAACAAAATTCTAAAAATAAAATATTAAAATGAGAACAAAATTGTCTTTTAAAGTGTCTTTTACTTTTAATTAAATTGGTGTTGTATTGCCTTAAATTTCAAAAACTACCACCTCATAGCAGTTTAATGGCTGATGTACTAATGTTAAGTTGCTCTCAAAATGTCTTTTCCCATATGTTCCAGGGCCTTCTTTATCCTTTCTTCATCTTTTTTAAAAATATCGAATGGCAACTAATGTATAGCTTGTTCAGCTATAATCTACTGTTGCAGGTCCAGGATGTGCTAAACAGCAAGTCATATCCAGTCTTTCTATCGTTGATTGCTCTATTTTGGATGTTTTTGGTCTTGACATCACAAGATCAGGAAAGCCCATTCCCAATATTTTTTTAGGAAAATTTTTGATGGAAAACGTTTAAATTTAATATCTGTGCTCTACTCTTGGAATCCTCAATATTTTTCTGATGTCAATGTCATTTGGGATGATGATGTTGGCATAAGCTGACAAAAGGAATGGGTACTGAGTGAATTATTAATAATTATTTAACCATCATAAATCATCATTTAACCATGATGTTTCATCATAAATTATGAAAGTATTAAAGTAAAAGTTCAATTATAATGGGATCTATTCAAATACGTAAAAAAGCTGCCCAAAACCCTGATTTATTATTATTATACATTTAATTTATGTGGCACGTTTTTCTAGTCAGATTCTTCAAATTTCTTATGGACTTCCAATGTGTCATTAATTTTTATCAGGCCTAATAACAGCATTTGTTGTGGTAGAGATGCACACCTTTATTTATACACATTTTTAAGGACCAAAATTTCTACATTATTAGTAATATTAGCATTAAATTATAGGCTCTCTATGTTTTAAGCATATATTGAGGGGGGAAAGTGCGCTTTAAACACCTAAAAGTAAAGTTCATTTTTAAATTCTTAATATATTAACTGCACTTTTGTTTGTGGCCGGATGAATGGCAAAATCTTCGGGGGATTAATTGGCCCACTTTCTGTCAACAAGCCGAAACTTGGCACATAGACTTAATACTGATGGCAAGTGCGTTTGGTGCATAACATTTTCTTTAGTTTTTCTGAAATATTAGTGAAATAAATATGGGATGTATAAGCTGGTGGGTCATTAATATAGTTCAGGGGTTTGAAAAAAAAATGTGCAGCTGTGAGCTTTGGAGATGAGCACTAATTGGGATTCTTATAAAGTGCATCATTTGTATGCGTTTTGTAAAATTTACAGCCCCACCCCCCATTGCTCAATATTACATTTTAATTTTATAAAGGATTTATCTAATTACCATGAATGAATTTACTAACTACTGTAGTTAACACAATTATTATCAAAATACATTTTGTTGGAAGTTATGAAACTCTTTAATTGTGGTGGAATAAAATGTCTAAGTAAAAACAGAAATATTTAATTTAAAAAATTATGTGGGGTACCCAGTACATAAATCAAGGAAAAACTTCTAAATACCGTACCGGCACCATTATTTTAGAGTTCTGTTTTAAATTTTGAAAACATTTTACCAAACTGCCTCATTTGCAATTTCTGGCATTCTACACACATAACCAAGCAATTTGTCTGAGTAAGTTCAGCATCTTTTCTGATGTGCCAGTGGACTGTTGTTCAGTGTTTCAAGTTTATGGCATTTTATCATGACCATGCTATCCTATGCGAGTCTCTTTGTCCTGGGCACCTTGATCTTAACAGTTAGTATAGTCCATGGCCTCTAGCGTTGATGTCAGAATCAATTGTATTTATTGGTTCTTCCCTTGTGTGGGTGGTTCATTGTTTGAGCCACTCATTAACTTAGTGAGAAGTGAATCTGTAAAAGAATGGATCCCTGGTTCCTTTCCTTCTCAAATTTGAAAGGTTTTGAACAGTTAAAGTTCAGACCAATTCTGGGAAAATCCATAGTGTCTTAGAATCTTCAATTGTGAGTCTCAGTATAAGCTAACCAAGGAAACAGCGACCAGTACATTCCATTCAGGAATCTGCTATAGGATTTGCATTAGAAAGCGATGTATTTAATACAAGACCTTCCTTCCTATAGCCAGCCTGTATTTTTTAGCAAAAAACAAAATAAAAGTACCGGTATCTCTCATTAAGCCCCAGACTTACAATTATCAAAATAAAAGACACAAAAACAGCAGCAGATTTTATTTTTTTGTAATCGAGGGCTGAAGAGTATAATTTAGGTAAGTCTCCAGGACAAATATTGTTTGATCTAAATGAATCTCTGACAGCTCTAATCTGAAAGAAACAAAATATGTAATGTTAATTGCGTAAAATTATTTCAATTTATCATATATTCCCTATATTCTATATTACAGATGAAAATTTCAGCCAACTGATTTAATGACGATAGTAATAGAGAAAAATTTAGAAAAAATTAAAATGACTATTATTATAATTATATATATTTTGGTTGCAGTCTTTGTTTTGTTTATGTACAAGTTTTTGGTAATTCTTTGAACAGGTTTTGATCTTGTAGGTTGGCATAAGTGGCTAATGTTTGTTCGTTTATGAACATATGTTGAAAATCTTAAAATAACCAGATACCTGGGAAATATTTCAGTATACTTCGAAATATTAACTTTCATCATTAATCCCTTCCATTGAAAGTTACTTACGTTCTTGCAGAATCGCTAATTTTCTTTAACTGAGCTTTTTCACTGGGTGTTACCATTTGTTCCACTTCTTCTTTCTGCTCAAGAGCACCTTCAGCATCAAGAGATGCAATAATTGCTTCTACTCTGTCCTGCTTGTCAAGCAAACGTCTGCAAAAATAAAAAATTCAGGTATCAAAATGTTTACATTAGAAAGTTATCTCAAAGAAGTTTTTTAAAGATTTTTATAATCACTGCAAAGCTTTCTTTAATTTACAAAAAGGTATAGATTTAAAAGATGAAAATATATGTGATAATTTTAATTTTTAATAGCAAAAGGTATGTATGAAACATTTATTTATATTTTAATATTTATTTTTGAAAAAAACACATTTCAATAACAAAGTATGTTTTCTAAATCTAACACCCTACTTGTTTTCAGAAATACACTTTTGTCTCCTGATAAAAACATTTCCAACAGCCTGATGAAAATAAAAAAAATATAACTATAATTTAAAAAATAAGAATTACCGTATTTATCGGCGTATTTATCGGCGTATTTATCGGCGTATAACACTCACCTTTTCTCCCTGAAAATAGGGGGCAAATGATGTGTGCGGATTATACGCAGATATAATGTTAAGTTTTTTTCCCTGAAATTTCCTTCTTAAAATGAGGTGCGTGTTATACTGTTATATGCCTTATATGTTAAGGTAATTAACTTGGTAATTTTTTTATTATCTAAACTTGCAGAAATGTCACTTAAAAAATAAAATTTAGATTCCTGATATTCTAATCTAGTATGCTTGTATTGTTAATTTGTATGTTAGTTTTGTACAAAATTAATATACTAATCACAATCAAAATTGAATATTATTGGCCTCTTTATTTACTCAATACAACACAACAACTCCATGGGAAGAAATTACTCCACCATTAAAATCATATTTACACATTTATTTTTGTGGGTGCATGAACATGAATATAAACTAAGTGTCATTAGAATTAAAAGAGTTTATGCCAAGTATGGCTTCCATTTATTTTGAAATATACAGGTACCTAATAATTATGTACTAACCACTCACAGACCATCATATTATGGTTTAATTAGATATAATTAAAAAATACAGTTTATGTGTGTTATCTATTCACAAATAAATTGAATTTGTATCAAGCTTTGTGTTTCATAAACATGTAAAATTTAAAAAAAGCTTTTCATTACGTTCTTGCAACTGTGACCCTGACATTAGGTGACCTATCCCCCAACCCCTATTAGTTAAATTAGTAAATTATAAAATCAGGTTTATAATAACTTTTATCAATTAACCTTCAGTTTAAAAATTAAAAGATAGTGTCAATTTAAATTATGACTAAATAAATTGTGGTAAATCATTGAGTAATTACTTGAAATTATTAGTTTTGCGTTTGTTTAAAATACAATTTATACCTGGTAGCATCTTTCCAGAAGCATTCTACTAACTTGTATCAAGTTGACATTGAAGAAATAAAATGTACGTGTGGGTGCATGGTCTGGTGTCTTTGATAGTTCCTATGACAAAATAAAGAAATAGAGAAAAGTTTAATACCATAATTTAAAGAATAGAAATTTGATAGCTCCTCCTATGACAAAATAAAAAAATAGAGAAAAGTTTAATACCGGTGCTTATTATCAGTTACTCACAGTAAGGGTAATGAAATTTTCAGCAAACATTTTATACAGCAACTCCTTAGCCTCTTTTGGAGGTAGCATAGCTCGTTCTTCCACCTAAATAAATTTTTTAAATATAATTTCATTACACCAATGACTTGACAAAGACCAAGATTATTTTTAAAACTTGGAATGTGTAAAGTGTGTCCCCAAGAATATAAAAAAAATTAAATTGATTCACTTTTCATTTATAAATCTTTTATAATTATCAAACTAAATATATTTCACTGCATCTTATTATTCTTTTTCTTTGGTTCCCCCCCCCCCTTTTCTTCTTCCTTTTCTCTACCTCTTGCCAGGTTTCTGTACTTATTTATCTAGAATTAATAGAAATATTTCTTTGTACTGTTTCACAAACTAATAATATTTCTCTGCTTTATTTTTTTCTTTTTTTTTTATTCCCCCCCCCCCCCTTTTCTTCTTCCTTTTCTCTACCTCTTGCCAGGTTTCTGTACTTATTTATCTAGAATTAATAGAAATATTTCTTTGTACTGTTTCACTCTTTTTCTGGAGAATCTATAGGGGAAATAATAGCACTGTCATAATTAAAGATTCTCTCCATTTTATTTTTTTTTTACTAGCTTATTCTCACTAATTTCAGGATCTTTCAAACTATTTTAAATGTTCCTTCAAAGAAATTGTTTGATTAAGCCCTGGATCTCAGTTTTTTTTTAAATTTTCTTGTTTCACAAGAGAAATCACATTTGAGTTGAATATTTCCCACATAATAACCCTATTTTTAATTTTAAAAAATACCTTAAACATCAGATATTTTTATTTTAAAATCTCACTGAGTAAATACACACAATAACATTATATGGTATTACCTGCTTTTGCTCCACCTGTTTGTCAGTGAGAAGAACGCGGAACATGCGCAGAGCTTTTGAGCCAAATCTCTCCAAGATGATTGACTCAATTTGAGACACACAAATTGCTTTAATAGCTTTGAAGTAATCAAAATTTGATGTCAAGGAACTAACCAACACTATTTTATAGTCCGGCAATATAGTTATCCGGAGTACCGGTATGCATTTACATTTATGGAACATAAAAATATAACTTTAAAAAAGCTAACTCTGCTCTCTCAAAGTAGTCTAGCATAAATATTATTGTGCATTTTTTAGGGCTCATGGGTGGAGCCAGAGCTTAGAGCATGGTTGTCGTGTTGTATCCCGTCCCCCCCCATTCCCCAGGTGGAGCAAACTCTATTTTGGAGAGGCAAATTTAAGCCAAAGTACCAACAGACTAGCCATTTTTTCAGAAAACAAAGTTTTCATGACAATGCATATATTCCTTAAAAAATATATTTGTTAAAAGTCATTTTTTTAAAACTAATTGTTAAGCTTTTAAAAGAATGAAAAAATCAAAAACTTCCCTCACCTCCCTCTATGTTTATCTCTCCCATCTTTAACTTCTTTACTTTCTCTCTTACCAGGTCAACCCTCGCTCTTCCCTGGCTCGTACCCACAACACCTAATCCCTGGATCCCTTATCTCTACAACCCATCATTCTTCCTCCCTTTAATTTTCTCCACAATTGCTCTTCTCTGCCCTCACCTTCTACTCTCCCCAACATCTCCCCACAAACCTTCCATAAATTGCTTGCTCCAAAGCCCTGGAATTTTTAAAACAAGTAAACTCGAGCAATATCACTTCATAAATCATTTAAATGTATCTAATAAAAGGATACTGATTTGAAACATGCCACCTCCACTCTCTCCAACTTTAGTCACAAAATTAAACTGCAATAAATTTAACAAAAACTTTTGTTAATATTCCAATATAAATTTATATATTATACGTTCATAATAATATATATTTATGTAATATTATACAAACACGGACATAAATATAAACACATATAATAGCTGTGAACTATCTTCCAATACCGGTACCCAAACACATGTTCAATAACGATGTATCTGGTATGCTTAGTAAGTTAATATCGATATATAAAATGATATAAAATGATATTCCCATTTGTGAACCATATTTGATAGTACCAAAATATAGTAGGGGAGATTAGAGAGCAGGGGAGGATTAAGGGGTGGCGGATAATAGTTTAAATGATACGGTACCGGTATAAAAAAATAAGGTGCAAAGAAATTTAAGAAAATAAATCACCAAAAAAATATTTAATTTTTTTACTTACACAGTTTTCTGAGAGGTATTTCAGATATTGCTCTAATGTGCTTTTTGGCATAACCTTGTCTTTAGGCATAGCATTGTATATCTGAAATATATATTTGTCATACTAAAACAATATGTGTTTAAAAAAGGATTGTGTGTCCATTTATTAATATATGGAACATTTTCTTAAGCCCATTAAAGGTACCAAAAATCTCAAGTAATAAGAAAGTAAGGTAGGATGCAAATGTAAACATTATTAAACCATCATTCATTAGTTTACAACAAGCATTTTAGTTGCTTACCGTCCTTAAATCATAGCAGATAAATTATTTACATTAAAACAAAACACTAACACAATCATTTCTATTTGTAAAAATACTCTGCAAAGTGAGCCATTATTTTCAACAAATAGAACAACAAAAAAGCAACATACAGAATAACCGGACTAATATTTTTAAAGGAAAAGTAATTGGCAGATTGTGGCAGAACTTGATGCTTAAATATACCTCAGTAAGAGAAACAGGTGAACTTTCTGGAGATAATGGCTGAGATCTAGTCTCACTTATACGTAGCAATGTTCGTATGACCTCTGATGCTTTCTGAAATTGAAAAAAAAAAACATCACTATGCAAAGATATTTTAGATGCTGGTAATATGTATAAATAAGAAAAGAAAGTTAAGGAATTAATTTTAAAAATAAAATATAAATCTAATTGCAATTAATGAATATTGATTTGCTACAGAAGAAAGGGGCTACTATTTTTTTTTATTACTATGGTACCACTACTGTCTTATTTACCTGGTCTATATTCCTAGATACAGCAGCAACTATAGCCTGATCTCGAAAATGATGATGGAATTGGTAGACATTTACACACCAGTAACCTGGTCCAACATTTTTACTTGTTTCTGAATCCTAAAATGTGATTTGATAAGGTTACTTACTTGAATTCTAGGTTACTTTAATTTTAACACAAAAAATAAGTTTAGCTGATTTTCTTTCCTCTACTCCACTGATACCCTACCTTTTATTACCCATGATCCACCTGACCACAATAAAAGCTTTAATATCCTCCAATCAAGCATCAACCCCCCCCCCCCCTACCAACAGGTTTTCTACCTCCGGTAAGGAAGTTTTAAGTTTGGTTTTTCTGCCCGTTTACCACCGATACCCTACCTTTTATTACCCATGATCCCCCCTACCACAATAAAAGCTTTAATATCCTCCAATCAAGCATCAACCCCCCCCCCCCCTACCAACAGGTTTTCTAGCTGCGGTAAGGAAGATTTAAGTTTGATTTTGCTGCCAGTTTAGGCCTACAGATTCAGTGTTGTAGGTCAAGGGTCTGCAAACTTTTCTGAGTAAGGATCCATTTAAAAAAATTATATCTGCTAAATTGCTGTTCATTTTGTTTAAAATCATTCATTTATTTATTTTTTCTGTATAGTATTTTAACATTTTTCACTCATTTGACACTAAAACCTGAGTAATAAAGTGTATTAAAGAAATTGTGTAACACTGATGCAGGGACTAACCTTCATCAGCGTTTCTGTAGCATCACCAGTTTCTAGCTTTAACTTTTTGGCAGCTCTTTGTTCCAGGTTTGATGGAGGACGCTTTGACCCTGCAGCAGGCTCTATTAACAATGTATAACTTATAACATTTTCAGAATGCCAAAATTTGTAGACTATTTTTGTTTAACAATGACAATTGTTCAGTTATAATAGGAGTTGAGTGACCAAAATATGAAAGAAATTTCACACATCTGAAGGAATTTTCTTTATTACGTACTCACCAAAGTCCACTGCATTCGGCAGGTTAAACAACAGTTCAGGGTCACCTATTTCTCCAGAAGACACTGCATTTTTTCCTTCTTTATCATAAATTATATCTGCACAACGACGGATAAGTCTTGCCTTGACAAGTGTCGTCACTTTATCTTTTACAAGATTTTGAGAAATTGAAGGTAAATCTGAAAATAAAAGTGACACTCTTAGAAAAAAAAGTTGTATTTTCGTCATGTCTTTAATTATTGGTAATTGTTTTTATTTTTAAGGAATAGATCTTTAAAAAAAATAATACACATGTATAAGTTAATGATAATATGGTACACTATATAAAATTGCAGCCTAATATCTCACCTAAAATAATATAAACTACTAATATCGATAAAATATATATATTAAGTGGGTAACAAATGTCATAATTTAATTCTCACTTGATCCACTGGAAAGAAGAGATTCATTCAGTTTTGAAGTTGTCTTTGTGACTGCTGGACCTAGGCATGACTGGCCCTGTAACAATAGCTCTTCCACCAGCAGCTCTGCAGCATCGCCATAGAGCATCTTTGCACAATGAATATAGTGAGGATATCGTAGCCTCCATAACACAGCATCTGATTTGGCAGTATATTCAATTAAACCTGGCTTAGGTTGGCAAAAACTAACAATGTTTTGTTGAATCAATGATTGTAATGCCCTTTTCACCTATAATGCAAAGATTAAAACAAGAATCATTCTTGGGGGACCTTGGGAACAATTCTAAGAGTAAGGCTTATACTTATATTCATAATTCATTTAAATAAGAAATGAATTTAATTATCATTTGCTAATCGTCTGGTTTCCATCTATACTATATTATATATGATTATAGTTATAGTGCCTATTTTTAATATGGCCTAACTTATCTAAGTCCTATTATTAATTAATTAATTATAAATAATTAATTTTGGCATTAGTAGGTTCTATATTAATCTATACTCATAAAATAATAATTACCAGTAGTTGAGTTAGAGTTAGACCAACCTGTTTAGATTCAAGCCCAGTGCGCTGCACTATGATACTGCATGAGGTTGCTTTATTTCTTATTAAAAATACACCTACTGTTGCAGTTAATTCTCCATAATATTCATTAAGAATCTGATAGCACAGCTCAGTCACTATACGAGACATTATTTTGACTCTATTTCTAATTTTGCTTTGTGCTGATTCTGTAATGAATTAATAGTTAATTTTAAGAGCAAAGTTATGCTGAACAAGAATTATTAAATGAATAGGTTATTTCAAATAAATACTACTAATACTAAAACTAAATAATTAATTCTAATATTGCTTAGAATAACTTTTACTACAAAAAAATATGACATGTTACTAAGTTAACAAAGAAGTTATTATACGGGTTAAAAAAAGTCCAGTAAGTCTACTCAACTCTACCCTAGACATGGTCTTCTCTGTCTGTGTTATTTAAATTATTGGTACTGGGAAATGTAGATAATAATAATAACAAAATAAAAAATAGTAGATGAGAGATTATAATTCATCATCATCGCCTGTCGTCCTGTCTGGGGCATAGGCCACAAACAAAGGCTCTCCAGACTCTCCAGGCATCCCGGCCTTGGACCAGTCTATCCAGCCTTCCCCAGTTGTGCCCACTCTTTTTGGTGTCTGCCTCCAGCTCCCTTCTCCAACTTATTTTGGGTTGACCCTTTTTTCTCTTGCCCTGGGGGCTCCAAGTGAGGGCTTGTCTCATCATACTGGATTTGGGCTTTCTGAGGGTTTGGCCAGACTACCTCTACCACTGGTTCTTGTTGTGTGCGCCGCCAGAGATCCTCGTTGGTGATGACCTTGGGCCAGCGGATTCGGAGAATCATTTGGAGACATGAGTTGATAAACGCCCGTAGGTTTTTTGAACCAGCTGCTGTTGTTCGCCATGTTTCTGCTCCATATAGCAAGACAGGCTTCACTGTGGTGTTGAATATCCTGACCTTGGTCTGGAGGGTCAAGTTGCTGCAGCTCCAGACTTTTTTAGATGGTTAAATTTTAAGAACTTTGCTTTTTCCTCTATGGATGTTCAGGCCGATGCAAGCAGAGTAATTTGCTACATAACTGGTTTTCTCTTGCATCTGTTGCTGTGTGTGATATTAGGGCCAGGTCATCCACAAAATCCAGATCATCAAGCTGTTTCCATAGTGTCCACTGGATACCATTTCTCTTCTGTTCTGTAGACATTTTCATTATCCAATCAATGGTCAGCAGGAATAAGAAAGGCGAGAGCAAACACCTCTGTATGACACCAGTTTGTACCCCAAAAGCCTCAGTTATTTGTTGGCCATGAACAATTCTGCACGGCAGTCCTTCGACAGTCCTTCGTAAGAACCCTTAATTACATCTGTCAATTTTTGTGGTACCCCATGTTTTAGCAGCTTCCACAGAGTCTGTCTACACTATCAAAAGTAAAAAGCCTTGCATTTCTCATAGTGAGTCATAGTAAAAAAAGTTGATGTATAGTGGTGAGTTCCACTCCAGAGATTGTTCCACTATAATTAGCAGTGTGAGTGGCAATCTGGTCTGTGCAGGATCTGTCTTTTCTGAAACCTGCTTGTTGGTCCATGTCCATGTCCATAAGTTGTCAACGATCCCCAAGATTCATTAATGATTAATGTATAAATAAATAGAAAGCAAGCCCATGCCATAATAAGGGGATAATCCCTTATTTTTGCGCGATTTATTTTTCTTTAGTCTCACTCATTCATACTCACAGTTAGTTTATATTTATATTATAAATTATAGTAATATTAGTGGAAAGTGAAAGTACCAGTACTGTAAATAGTGTAAAAGTAAAAGATCGGAAATCGTGATCACATCTGTCAGTCAGCGAGTCTGGGTGCCCATCTCTATTTCACACTATTCAGTATCTACATCATGGGACTTCATTCAAAATTATTTTTAAAGGTAAAATACCCTCTTTTTGTTCGAATAAAATAAAAATGGAACAAATTTTACGAGATCAAAAAAGTACATTTCATGAATCTTTTGTCTTTTACGGCTCCTTTGTGGTAAATCAAAGAGAACTCTTCTGTCTCCAAGTTAAGTTACAAAAGTTGCCCGATTGGATGTACCGGTAATCTAGATTTAATTAAATAAATGTAAATTAGGTGTCCGTATTTATTTCTAAACCAGTCAAGTGTTCACTATTTTGATTATATAGGTCTCACATATTATATTTATCTTTTATCGGTTTATTTCTATGAACTAATAGTCTAGTTTAACTAAAATAATTGAATGTGCATATATATGGTTTTAAATTAATTCACAACTTTATTTACAAGAAATAGTGCATATATTTATTTTCTGCAAATTATTGTCCTTTCACTAGGGGCACTCGCTCTGGACGCAAATATCAGAGGGTGGCAAATAGATGCGCTATTTTCTTCGCACTGGCGCCCTTTCCAAATTCGTGACGTAGAGGGAGCATTGTTGTTAAATTTGCCAAAATAGCGTAAATAAACACAACTTTTTGTGTAAGATGTATTACGTCTATCATGTGAAAACTGTAAAAGAAGATTATAGTAGCAAATACAGTATACAGTAACGATGTCGGCGAAAGTCTTTTTTAGCTACAGGCAAAGGACTAAATCGTACAGAGCAAATGAAAAAGTCAAAAGATCTTACCTTTTATGTTCTGGGAAGTTCAAGAAAAAAATGAACTGTTTAAAATGTTCCTATCATCCTATTAACAAAATTAAAAGTTCGTTGAACACCTTAATCTTTGTCATATTGCAACGGAACTGAAACTACTTTAAATATGAGGGAAATATCATTTGTTCCGTTCTGTCTTTTTAGTTTACGTTTGGCACCCATTCATACATACATTTTCTATGCTTTGTACATGCATATCTGGATCGTTTGGGATCCACACAAATTTATTTCATGCACCACAACTGAATGCATAAATATACAATCGGACAATTGCTCTAGGTTTCTATTATATCCGTTCTTGGCAAAACATGGACGAGAATGTTTTACGGGGTTCCAGTGGTTCTGTCTGGAACTTCCATTAGGAAGCATTTTCCAGAGGACCTTTCTATCACACCAAAAACCCAGTGGCCTTGGCGCCACGCTCCTCTATGGTATTTTCGGTAAAAATATTTGGATTTGTCGACCTCAATAACCATAGGGATCCCCATTATTGTCAAAGCCACAAACCTGAGTGGCATGCTGGTTAAGATAAACCCATATATCCTCTCGAATAAAATTAAACTAGTCAATCGCCGTGTTTTGCTTCTGTATTTGAGACAGATGCTTTGTAACATCTGTTGGAAATTGACAAAATACTGAATGTTGTGCATTGTTTTGCACACCAAATTTTATTGTGTATTGACGTCATGTTGTTATGCAGTTCCTGTCTTCTGTCCATGTTGGAAGAACTCCATGTTTTCTCTTACAATTAAAAACGTTGAACTAACCTTGATGGTTGCTTGTTACATTATCTTCCTTGTGAAGTAGATTAGCAACGTGGATTAGCAACATAATATTTTCAACAGGTTATGGGCCCAGGTAGCGTTATCCTGTGCTAAGCTGTTGCTGATTCGATTTTTGTGTGGTTTGTATTCGGAATCGGTGTTCGCAGAATTACCGGAATGGCAAACATGAACACAAGCATCATTCCTCTTGTTGGTGCAAATTATTCGACCTGGAAAATTCAATGCCAGATGGCCTTGATGAAGGATGGACTCTGGGGGATTGTTACTGGGTCTGAAATTGCACCTGACGAGGCTGAATCGGAGAAGGTTGCTAAATTTACTGTAAGGAGAGATAGGGCTTTGGCTATCATTGTGTTGGCGTTGGACACTTCATTGTTGTATTTAATCGGGAATCCAGTTGAACCCAAGATTGTCTGGGAAAAACTGAGGGATCAGTTTCAAAAGAAGACATGGGCTAACAGACTGGCGCTGAGAAGGAGATTAATTACAATTAGAATGAATGATGGGGACTCTGTGCATGAGCACATTAAAACTCTAACGGAGATTTTCAACGAGCTTGCTGTGGTAGGAGATGCCGTTGATGAAGAAGACAGGGTGGTTCACCTACTTGCTAGCCTTCCCAACTCCTACAATATGTTGGTAACAGCTCTTGAGGCTTGCTCAGAAGTTCCAAAGATGGAACTTGTAACTGAACGATTACTTCACGAAGAGCGAAAGATATCACAACGAAGGGAAGAAGTACCAAGTAGAGCACTTGTGTCGAAGGAGAAGACAATTAAGAAAGGACCCCAGTGTTATTATTGTAAGAAAATTGGACACATTAAAAGAGATTGTCCTGAGTTAAAAAGGCAAGAATCAGGCAAACATATTTACAGACAAAATAAGGCAAATCACACTGAGATTAAGGCTAAGAGATGCTCAAGTAATGAAAGTGTGGGAATGTCAATGAGGCATCGTCATGCCTTAGCTACAGGCAATGGTGTCGCGACTTGGATTATTGATTCTGGAGCAACAAGTCATATGTGTTGCAGGAGATCTGAATTTGTCCAGTTGTCAAACTTGGAAGAGCCTCTGAATATAGGACTCGGAGATGGACGGAATCTGAAGGCACATGCCTGTGGTGTTGTCAAACTAAGGATGAAGTTGCCTGGTAATAAGCATCAAGAATGCACGCTGCATGATGTGCTTTATGTGCCTGAACTCAAGTGTAATCTGTTCAGTGTTGACCACGCAATTGAGGCTGGAAAGAAAGTTTATTTCAATATCAAAGGTTGTGAAATAAAAGATAATAACGGTAAACTTCTGGCAAAGGGAGTGCGGTCACATGGTTTGTACCATTTGTGTCATTATGCCAATGAACATCAATGTAATACAGCAAACGGAGGTAAAGAAACAAGTGAGGAACTGTGGCATAGACGCTACGGACACCTAGGTTTTGAAAATCTCAAGAAGTTGGCTGTAGGAAATCTAGTGGATGGTCTAGAGTATGATGAGCGGTCAAATAGGGAACTGTGTGAACCATGTGCAAAGGGCAAACATCACAGGACCAAGTTTCCGTCAAGTGGAAGGGTAAGAAATGGGATACTTGACCTGGTTCACAGTGATGTCTGCGGGAAGGTCAGCACACAATCACTTGGTGGAGCTCACTATTTCCTTACTTTTATTGACGATTTCAGTCGATACACTTGGGTTTATATCCTTAAGCACAAGGATGATGTTTTTAAGTGTTTCCTTGAATGGAAAGCAATGGTTGAGAGGTCAACTGGAAAACATCTTAAGGCCCTACGCACCGATAACGGTGGAGAGTTTACTTCAAATGAATTTGAAGGTTATTTAAAGAAAGAGGGGATCCGTCATGAACTGACTGTTCCGAAAACACCAGAACAGAATGGAGTAGCGGAGAGGAAGAACAGGACTATTGTGGAAGCAGCACGTTCCATGCTGGCTGAGGCACAGCTCCCACGAAAATTCTGGGCAGAAGCAGTGTCAACAGCTGTATATCTGCAGAATCGAAGTCCTGTTAACGTTTTTCAAGGTACTACACCATTTGAGGTGTTTACTGGTACGAAACCCAGTGTCGATCATCTGAAAGTGTTTGGATGTGTTGCGTATGCACACATTCCTAAAGACGAAAGACAGAAGTTCGATTCAAAAACACAGAAATGCGTTTTTCTGGGGTACGGAATCGATGTCAAGGGTTATCGCCTATACAATTTGAAAACTAATCGGGTGATTTACAGCAGAGACGTTCTGTTTAATGAAAACAAGTTCGGTCTTGAGAAGGAGGCTGAAATGTCTCAGGAATCAACACCTATATTTCTGGAATTCATTGACGACGATGAAGAAGTAGAGAACACGTTCGGTCTTGAGAAGGAGACTGGAATGTCTCAGAAATCAACACCTGTGTTTCGGGAATTCATTGATAATGACGTCGATGAAGAAGTGAATCGTGTTGATGATCCTGATGATGAAGGTGTTGATGAACCAGATGAGGAGCTAGATGTCAGACGATCAGCGAGAGTTAAACGCCCACCAAATCGATATGGTGAGTGGTTAAACTTGACTCGGGATCTGGAAGAACGCAGTACAGCGATACAGGCCATGGCGAGTTCAAGAAAACGAAGTCTGGGACTTAGTAGAACTGCCAGAAGGAAGAAAAGCTGTAGGAAGCAAATGGGTGTTTAAGATCAAAGTAAATGCTGAGGGAAAAATTGAGAGACATAAAGCTCGGTTAGTTGCTCAAGGATACTCACAGAAGTATGGATTGGACTATGATGAGACATTCTGTCCAGTTGTTAGACCTGAGTCAGTGCGCACAGTCATTGCTATGGCTGCAAAATACAATTTACGGTTGCATCAAATGGACGTGACGACAGCCTTTCTGAATGGAGTGTTGGAGGAAGAAGTATTCATGAAACAACCAGAAGGGTTTGTTGAACAAGGAAAGGAAAACCTTGTATGTAAATTGAAGAAAAGTTTATATGGACTAAAACAGTCTCCTCGATGCTGGAACACAGCACTTGACAGTCACCTAAAGGGTCTTGGGTTTAAGCAGTCCTCATGTGAACCATGTATGTATACAACTACAGAAGGAGAGATGGTTATCGTTGCAGTCTATGTCGACGATATCTTATTAGCTGCTAGGAACACTAGAATTCTTGCAAGTGTCAAGAAGGCTATTTCATCAAAATTTGACGCAAAAGATCTTGGTGAATTGAAGTCCTTTTTGGGTGTTATGTTTACTCAAAAGGAAGATGGTATCTGGCTAGGACAGCCAGGCTATATCAGCAAAGATTCAAGATTCTTAGAGACATGATTGGTGTGAAACCAATGAATTAGCTTTATTTAGTATTTTGAGAAGGAGTGTTGGAAATTGACAAAATACTGAATGTTGTGCATTGTTTTGCACACCAAATTTTATTGCGTAATGACGTCATGTTGTTATGCAGTTCCTGTCTTCTGTCCATGTTGGAAGAACTCCATGTTTTCTCTTACAATTAAAAACGTTGAACTAACCTTGATGGTTGCTTGTTACATTATCTTCCTTGTGAAGTAGATTAGCAACGTGGATTTGCAACATAAT